ACATAATTTTATATAATTATATATGAAACATTTTTTCCCGAGTAAAATTGCACAAAAACAATATTATCTATAGAAATATATTTATATTTATATTGAAGTACAATAAACATGAATTTTTTAAATATCTGTTATAAACATTTCTACTCGAATCAATTTGTAATATTACTATCCCAGTTTCAGTTTAAAGATTGCGTTTCAAAACCGAAAATTAAATTGGCGCACAATTTACAGAACTGAATAAATTCACACCGAAATATTATTAAGTTTATTAAATATTATACAAAAATCTAGCTTATAATCAGACTTATAAAGCGCTTTATTTATATTATTATTTCATTTGAAGCGAGAAATGTGCCATTGGATTATATATTAATAAATGTAACGATTATTTAATTTAATAAATTGTCTCAATATATAATGAATATTTCAATTATCTAATAGATCACTGTAATCAATCTTGAGTAAGTGCTTAATCACGCTTAAAATCTTTTTCACTAACAATAAGAAAAGTACTTAGTGTGATTAAACTTGCAATATAAAAAAAAAGTATTAGAGTTGATAACAAAATAATCGTTCAAGATTTTCGATGCAATAAGGAAGAGGACACAACTCAAATTAATCAGACAAAATATAAACAATAAAAAATGTATATTTATTTCAATTTTCTTTCACATATTTTAAAACTTAAATTAATTCTTCCGTTTCCAATACATATCTATCTTTCTTTCCAATGTAAAATCTCAAATGTATATGGAACACACGTCAGCATGTACGCGTGTGTTTGTGGTATGTGTTGCTAAAGAAGGAGTAAGAGTCAAAGTGAGAAGAAAGGAGCACAAGTCGTATGCAGTATGTGCAGCTGCATACGCTTTCGCTGGCGGCCGTACAGTGTAGTACACGCCTGGCTCTTTGTTTATCCTCCGTATGACGTACGGGCGTCACGCAACGAAAAAAAAAAGAGGGCCGAGGCTCGGAGAAACCGAAATCGAAACGGCAGCAGTCTGTGTCAGTCTGTGCCGAGTGCGCTGACCCGTAGGACGAGTAGCGATGGTCGTTGACCGCGGTTGAGCGCGATCCATTGTTTACATCGGCACACATCTCGACGCATCCTGAGGAACGGTGTCTCACGCCATATCCTCGTTAACGACCCAATCGTCGATCATCGTTATCGCTACGATAAACGCGGCTGCGGGCAAACATGTCAAGAGTAGCGGGAAGCTCTCCCGCGAGAGCCGTAAACAAAGGTGAGCAGCAA